GGATTGGCTCCTTGGCCACTAGCCCAGGCTGGCCCCAAGCCAGCTGTGAGGTCAAAGTCAGACCCACAAGCTCACAGGGTTGGCAGATGGGGAGGCCAAATCTGAATATTATGCCACATGTGCAGCACCACATCCCAGTAAGTATGGGTTGCCATACCAGGGCCACAGGCCTTGTACCAGCTTAGGAACACGAGATCTAACAGCTCATCAGGCCTTGAATTCTTTCTATTTCAGATGTAGAGATGTCAGGGATGCTTGTTGCCACTGCAGGGCTCCTGGTTGCCAGCAGAGCAGGGATGCCCTGGTGTCCCAGCCATAGGGGTTGGTGCTGCAGCCTCGGTGTGTTCACCCCTCCCCAGCAAGAGGGGAAGGTGCATTTGCAACGTTTGGAAGTGGATGCAGGTGCCCAAGGCATGTCCTGGGTCATCTGCTGGGACTGAATGGGCCTGCCTAGATGGCCAAGCCTGAAGTTTGTTCCAGGGGAGGTTTAGGCTGGATACTAGGAACAATTTCTCCACAGAAAGGATTGTCAGGGCCTGGCACAGGCTGCCCAGGGCAGTGGTGGAGCCACCATCCCTGGAGGGGTTTCAAATTTGAGTGGATGTAGTGCTGAGGGACATGGGTTAGCAGTGGGTTTTGTGGAGTTGGGTCAGTGCTTGGACTCGATGATCTTAAAGGTCTTTCCCAACCTAAAAGATTCTATGATTCTATTCTAGGATTCTATGTAGCTGCCCAGGTTGCCCTTGGCCCCAAGTTTTGCAGCACTTACCACGTTCACGGCGTCGAAGAGGCGCTCGGGGGGGACAGGCTTGGCTATGAAGGGGCACTTCTCCTGCAGCAGCATCACTGCCTTCAGCCCCTCTGCTGTGCAGTCTGCCACGATCCAGCCACAGTCCCGAGTGCTGAAGGGGAAGCCACCCTGGGAAGGGGTCAGGAGGGGCTCAGCACCTTTCCCTGCCCTGTTCTGCTCCCTGTACAGGTGGGAGGTGCTGCCCCTCAACCCCAAATCCCTGCCCCAAATCCTTCAGAGACCAGTTCCAGCCACAGTACCTTGTTCATGTGGCGGTAGTACTTCTGGTAGTCAGGTGGGTTCTCTGGGATCTGAAGAAGACAAGAAACAAGTGAGGGCAGGCTGGAGGTGCCTGGCTACAGGACCATGTGCTGGAAACCATCACTGACAAAGAATCACATGGGACTTGGCAC